CTTTCTTTGGATATTTTTCCCTGGTGGTGCCCAGTGACAGGACCAGAGGCAGTGAGCACAGGCTGAAACACAGGAGGCTCCAGAAGAACATCAGGAAATGCTTTTTTACTGTGATGGTGACTGAGCCCTGGCACAGGACTTTCAGAGTGATTGTGGAGTCTCCATCCTTGGAGATGTTCAAAAGCCATCTGGACATGGCCCTGGGCAACGAGCTCTGGGTGGCCCTGCTTGAGCAGGGGAGTTTGATCAGATGACTTCCAGAGGTCCCTGCCAACCTCAGTCATTCTGTGATTAACACCAGAAGGATCTAATTGTTTTTGCTAGACCCATTAAAGTTTGAAATAACATGTTCTTTGTGGAGGGAAAAATAAAGGGACGAAGAAGAACGAACATTAGTGAGGAGCATAAACTTGCTCATTTGGCCAAATAGTTCAGTGTTTCTCTTCTATTATCCCAGATGAACTCAATGGGTGTTTCAAAGGTGAAAGAGATGTAGGGAAAGTTTCTGTAGATACCCATGCCTGTAAAACAGTAAGTGTATGCTATCACAGTCTATTAAGTTCCCAAGCAACATGCCAGCCCTTATGCAGTACTCTGAAGAGTAGAGCTCATTATCAAATCATGTGTTTTCCTGAAGAAAAGCTCTTCTGGGAGAGGATGACAACTGAAGGGTACTGTTTGCTCTTGTCAGAATCAAAAATGAGACATACACAAAATCCATGTGATACCAAAACCAGCCTCTTTGCCCCTTCCTTGCCTCAAACAGTGTTGGGGCAAAATGTCAACTGATTGAGTATTTTGTGTTCTGAATGAATCGCTTGTTAATAGTATAACAAGGAAGGGAAAAAAAGAACAACTTTGTCATGGATCTGTGGTGCCATCTGGTATGTAAATGCACAATGCTGCTGTTGGGGAATTGGGTTGATGAGAAGGTCAAACACCATGTCCTGGTTCAGATCTCAGTTCTTTAACAAAATCTTATTTCTCTGACGTGGTGCTGCTAACTCTGTCAGTGTAAGGTCACTGGAATTGACATATGGATTCCACAGGTGTTACCTTTTTAAAGATAACATTTCGGGAGAAGAAGAGGATGGAAGAGGAGGACTACTTAGGAGAAACCCCAGAGCAACCCAGGTCTTTTGTGATAGTCAGCAACTTGTGGCAAGCCTAGGACACTGATGAATTTTGATGACAGGTATGAAATGAATGCTTCTGGTGTAACTGAAAATAACATGCTTGACCTTTTAAAAAGAGTAGTAGTTGTTTTTATGCTGTTGACTGTGATTCCATCTTTCTAGGGCAAGATCCTGGTATTTTTATTAATTTATTTTTTTCCCTTACTTGATAATCTTTATTTTTCTCTGGCATTTGAGGCTTCCTACAGCAGACAGAGCAAAGAAATATAAGTACCTTGACACCTCATTTAGTAAAGGCTTTAGTTCTGAGTTTTATGGGAATTTCAGTGGAAACTCTCCAGTATTTCAGTGCTAAATCTACATTAACCGTAACAGTAAGAGTGAATAAGGAGACGATACCCTTTTCAGTTGGTGCTGAGGATCCTCATCTCCCCATGGTTTGGGGATTTACTTTGCAGTAGGTATTATCTGGCTTCCAGGGCTGAACAGTTCCACTATAGGCCTGATCTGGAGCTTTTTGAAAAGAAGCTATCCCTCAAATTGCTGCTACCTCAACTGCAGGCACCTCCAGGAAGCAACATGTTGTCCTGTTGAGTGCTTTGCACAGGCACCATTAATATGTTGTCATCCTGAAAGCCTGGTTCATGAAAGTAAGTTCCTCCTCAGGTAATTTCCAGGTGAAACTGTGGTCCTTAGTGTCAGACTCATTTCCCCCTGCTCCACCTTTGAACAATGTACAGTAAAGAAGTGGCAGTCTTAATCTAAGCTATGCCAAGGGGATGCCATGAATGCAGTGGTGCCTGTGTTCCTGCACCTTGTTTTTCCACAGAGAAAAGATTGGATAGATTTCTGGCAGTGTTTTTCTTTGCCGCTACTTTGCCTGCAGTTGGCTGGTGGTTCTGAGCCCAGGGGATTTTTCAGATTTATGGGACTTTCTCCATGAGATGCAGGATAACCAACCATGGGTGAAAACCTTTTGGATGCAGTCAAGCACTATCAAGGTGAGGCAGAGTTATGACTTTCCTTACATGTAATTTCAGGAGACCATACCTGGATTCAGGAGAATGGTGATGCTTTCTAAAGCCTCACAGTCCTGTTTCCAACAGTGAGTGGCTAACTGGTTTGAGGTGAGAAACTCTCTGCTGGTGAGCTGCTGATTTAGGTCTCTGAGGCCACCTCAGAAACTCTTTGTTTGAAGACAGTGAATACAGGCAACATTGACTACATCACTAGCATCTTGGAAAAAACCAGCCCTTTGCAAGTAATGCCTGCAGTAAGAGGCCAGTGAAACTTAACTTGGAATATTGCTGCTACAGCTGAAGTAACAGCAGTCCTAAAATGGATACAAACACTCAGTACTTTTTCTGTGCTATTAAACAGATACGTAGTCATCAGCTGACAGAGAGTCCAGATGACTAATACTATTCCATGCATTTACCAAAAAAAATAAAATAATTACTTTTCATTTCTCCCTTCACACGGTCACAGGATCCTGTTCAGACTGGTGGGGACCTGAGGAGGTCTCCAGCACCAGCCCCTGCCCAGAGCAGAGTAAGTTCTGGACTCAGATCAGGCTGCTCAGGGCTTCACGCAATCAGGGCATGAAGCCCCCAAGGATGGAAACAGCCCTGGCTCCACCGCTGGGTTGCCCTTGTGGCTCCACCCTGAGCCTCTCGTGTTTCAGCTTGTGCCGCTGCCTCTCGCCCTCCCGCCATGCACCTCTGTGAAGAGCCTGGCTGCGTCTCCTCTAACCCTCCCTGCGGTGCCAGGGATGCTTTTGGGTGCCCCCAAACCTGCCCCACCTCCTGCCTGAACCAGCCCCAGTCCAGCAGCATCTTGATGGCCCTCTGCTGAACTCAGTCATGTTTATCAACTCCTTTCCTGTACTTGGTGCCCCAAAATGGATGCACAACTGCAGAGCAGAGGGAAACAATCACCTCCTTTGATCTACTGTCTGTGCCCCTGTTCATACAGCCCAGGATGCCACAGGCCTTCTTTACTGCCTGTGTCAGATGTCAGTCATATCAAAATACAGAAATGGGTGACAGGGCTTGCAAATAAAATGCAGAATTTTAACAGAAAGTCAGAGGTGGAAACAACATCTCTTAAACATCTCTCCATTCTTCCCCCACATCCAGCAATTCCCCTTCCTTTAATTTTATAAAATGACAAGTTACTTTAAATTTTGGAACACTGCAGAAGACTGAAAAATAATAATTCCTTGAAAAAAACTAAGTTTTTCAATAGGTATGATTGAAAAATGTTTTGTCAGAAATTTCAGGGCCTTGCTACAATACTTTGCCCACCCAGTTGTGACTCTTCCAATGTGTGTTCTGCAATCAAGCCCTCACAGATAGTTGATTTATTAAATTTTTGAAATAATTGTTATTCTTATGAGACAAGAAATAATTATTTTAGATGAGTGATTTATGTTAAACTTGGATTTGCAGATCAAGTGTTTCCATGGTAAAAATTTCTGAAGTTCATAACTAGGGCAGCTATGATATTTGTAATAGTCTGAAAGCTTTTAAGTGCTGTGTTTTTTCCTTTTACTGTTTCTTTTTAAATGTGATCCAGCTGTTTCTCCCTTCTTTTACATTCCCTCTTCCCTCTGATAAAATAAAATGACAAAAAAAAAAAGAAAAAGATTTGGATACAGACTCTTTATTCTCATAAATGAGTATTTGCTCAAAGAGCCTCAGGAGAGTTGAAATGTGGGTCTAAAGAAGACTTCAGAAAGTCACCTAGTCCACCCCAATGTTCTGAAGCACAACTGAATATATTCAAATTCTCTCTCATGTCTTATTTATTCTCCGATACGTTTATGTATTCATATTCTCCCTACAGTCTGTTTCTATGCTTAACAGGCTACAGTGAAGTGTTACCCCATTACATAACTCTTGCTGCAAATTATATCAATTACTAATTGCCTTAACAGGGGAAGAAATTAATTGTGTCTTCTTTATCTCAACCTATTACGGATTTGAAGGCTGTTCTCATGCCCTGTACAACCTTTTGTCTTCTAAACCAGACAAACCTTCTTACACTTTTTCTTTAGGCTGTATTTTCTTAACATTCCTCATTCTTGTTCCACTTAATTCCTTGCAACTTATGTTCCTCTTCCAGTTAAAGCCTTGCAAGCATCATTATCTCCTCTAGCTTAACATAGTACAGAAAGATATTTGCTATTTTCAATATAGGGTTGCATTTGGGATTCTTACTCGGTTTGAAGTCCACTGTAGCTTTAGGTCTTCCTCTGTTATTCATCAATCCCTCTCCATTTTATGTGTATGTATTTTGCTTTTTAATTTTTCTATTTAGGACTGTATTTCTCTCTACTGAATTCTATTATTCATGTAACTGTCACCATTTACCAGGTTTATTTTTAATTTATCAGATTCCAGCCCCACTCTGCAGAATATCTGCAAACCCTTTAGCTCAAAACTATATTCATGTACTCTTGCTTTCAAATCCAGCTTGTTTACTGAAAACACTGAACACTACTTCCCCAAGCTAAACATCTGTGAGCTGATGCCTCTTCCTATTTGATAGTGATGGCTGCAGTCTGTATTTGGGGGGAGGGTTTCTATCTGCTGCATACACGCCTCATGGTAATTTCATTTAGACCATAGTTTCCCTAGTTTGCTCATTCCACGGCCCTGTGGAACTCTGTCGAAGACTTGTATAGTCAAAATGCAACTTCAACATCAAAATAATATGATATTGTAAACTAATTACTTTCTTCCTCAGTTTCAAAATTTCCTATCCCAAACTTCCATCATTACATAAATCCTACTAATATTGAGTTTAGAGAAAATAAAACACTTCCATATGTCCTGAAATGGTGTAAGATGTCTGATGTAGTCACACCACTATGTCATGTTCTTGATACCTTCTGTTTTGAAGTTTCAGGAGATGGAGGGAAGGGTAGGGTAATGCTGACTTTTCTGGTTTAATATTAGCCCAGCTTCCTCTTTCTTTTCTCTGTTGGAGTTGATCTAAAGTAACTAAAAATCCAGCTGATAGGACAAGAGTGGCTCCTGCCATGTAGAAGCCTGCTCGGTAATCTCCAGCCATGTCCACGATCAGACCTTGAGAGAAACAAATGACAGCAATGTAATTGATAGAAAACAGGCTACAGCGAAGTGTTACCCCATTACATAACTCTTGCTGCAAATTATATCAATTACTAATTGCCTTAACAGGGAAAGAAATTAATTGTGTCTTCTTTATCTCAACCTATTACGGATTTGAAGGCTGTTCTCATGCCCTGTACAACCTTTTGTCTTCTAAACCAGACAAACCTTCTTACACTTTTTCCTTAGGCTGCATTTTCTTAACTGTGAGCTGTGAATCAGCTCAGCAGTGTGAACATATCCTCACAAAGGATATGGATATGCTGGCTAGATACCTGTCTTGCAGCTTTCTACATCATGAGTGCATGAAACATCACCCCTTTATAGCACTTTAAAATTTGAAACACAATTCACATCTATTTACTTTGCATATATGAATTGCTAGTAAAATAAAATGCTATACGGTTTAAGGCACTTTCCAACCTAAAACGTGGCAGACAATGAAGGTAATGGCAGAAAAAACCCAAATCATGCAGCTTTGTATCTGAGAGCCCCATGTTCTGCTGTGTAGGTGTCATCGGTTGCTGTAACTTGGACCATAACTGTGCAGCACGAGAGAGTTTAAAGAAGGCAAGGAGAGGCCTCTGCTGAAGACACAGTTGGAGAGGTTGCCTGCAGTGTTATGGGCTTCCCTGTTCATCACTTTACAAAGAGTCACAGAAATTAACAAAAAGACCCTGGGTTTTAGGTAGCTTTGAGCCAACAAAAATACCTAATGTCACTGCATACTGTACTCAAGAAGCAGTAGTATAGTAGTAGTACTGCAGCAGTATATGTGATAGTATCGGCTGCTCTGTGGGTACAATAGCAGGCTCATTTGTGGGCTGATGAAAGCTTTGCTTGGTCTCCCACCAGAAAGTTTGTCCACATTTAGTGTACTCCCTCGCCCTTGTTCTAATCTAACATCAGTCCCATCAGGCAAAGGAACTCTGAACCCAGATCTTTTAGATTTTACTCTTAAAGTAGGAGAGAAGAAGAGCTTGAGAACCACTTAGGGTTCCCTCCTCTTCCATACCTTCTTTTTAGCTTACTATAAATACACAAAGTGGTCGCACTGAACCCCAGGCAATCAGTACTAGTGACCAGCCACAATATAAACATCTTGCTATCTTTGTATTTTATTCAGATCTTCCCAACATACTTTTAATACTGTTTTGTCTCAATTTCATTATAAATCTTCCTTCCTATATTCTCAAAAGTGAATTAAAATATTCCAGTATTCAGTCTGACCCATTTGCAGCCTATTAGTGGTATCATTACCACAAAAGTCACTGTAGTGCATAAGCAGTAGTCTTTGGATGAGGACACAGATCCACATTTTACAAGTTCCATTAGTCATTTTTCTGCCGTGTCATTTTTCTGCCATATCATTTTGTAAAGTCCCTACAGCTTGCACTTTATTTATCTTGCATTTTTCCATGACGACTTTGTCTCATTGCCACCCCATAAATCCACGTGCTGTCTCATTGTCTGCTCTCTCTTCCCACTGCTTTTATGTGCTGCCTCCCCCATTTATTATATTGGTTAGCTTGAATGCTGTCTGAAAACAGCAGGCATCACTGTGAATATGTGCTTGAGGTTCACATAGCCTAATGTTTCAAGCTGTTCGATTTGACCTTCTGTAGAAACCCTCCCAACAATACCAGCATTTATGTGACATCACTAGTCTGAAATTTCAGTTTCTTCTCTGAAAATGTGGATTGCTTGTCCCAAAGGTACACTTTCATAGGAAGACAGTGGGAGTCCATCAAGTGGGATTCTGCAGGATTCAGGAAGCAAGAACACCACCATGCAAACCCTGCCATTCTGCCCTGCTTTCATGTCAAACAGGTATCTCTAAAACCACAGAGAAGAGAGGGAGCAAGGTATTTTGAAGAGGAATTAAACTGACTCTCTGTTTTTATAGACTTCTTGGTCCGGATACTTCCGAGCTAAAAAAGGGGGAAATTTAGGTCTGGATCCGTATTTTTTCAGTTTGGGTTGCCATTCCCCTTTCTTCTTGTAAATGGTATTTGGCGGAGTACCATCTTAACTTACCAGCAAGAGGAGGCCCCACAAAACCTCCAGTGCTTCGAATGAGCATGAAAAGCCCTAGAGCACTGTCAAAATCTGGCATGCCTACAACATCTGCTAGCACTGTAATGTGAACGGCGACTGTTGTACCAAAGAAGAATCCATAGAAGCCAGTGAATATTGCCAAGGACAGGTAATTGTTAGCCAGTGGCAACAGCATCAGGGAAGTACTGATCAGTGTAATTGTCACTGTCAGCAAATGAACAGTTTTGGTAACGTGGAGATTGGCATACCAGCCACACAGCAGTCTGCCTGCAAAGTCCCCCATAGCCAAAATGGATAGGAGGGTTGCAGTCCACGATTCATCTATTCCCAGGCTGTAGCTAAGTGGAACTAAAAACAACGGAGGAACAAAAAAACTCATAGCAGCTAATATGCCAAAAATGGCATAAAGTACAAACTCCGGTCGCCTCACAAGCATCCAGTTGAAGGTTTTGTGTGTGATGGGAGACTTATCTTCTTTGTCCATCCCAGATGCACCATTGCCAGCTGGTGTCTCAGTTGCAGAATGGCTAGCCTCAAGGAGGCAGCTGCTTGCCAGGGGTCGCATCAGTACTCCACAGACACAGATATTAAGTTGGATGCCACCTATGATCAAGAGGGCACCTTTCCATCCATATTGACTAATCAGCCACTGGAAAAATGGCCCAAATGTGAATGCAAAGGCACATTCTCCAGCACTGGCAATAGCATTGGCCAAAGCTCTTTTCTTGGAGAAATAATGGCTAACAATGCTAATGGCTGGTGTCCATGAAAATGAAATCCCAAGTCCTGAAAAACACCAATATAAATAGCACCAGTCAGACACTATTGAGGTATCTTGTGAAGGTGGAAATTAAAGCAGTCAGTGCTCCTACATTTGCAAAGTTAAAAACTGGTAAAAGAAAAACACTTTTGTTCCTAGCAGAAGCATGAGCTTAGCTGTACTATGTGTAAGAGTATATTTGTGGCATATGTTCTGTAAGAGTAAGTTCTACATTCAAGCAAAAAAAGCAGGAGTATGAAGTATACACTATTATATTGTTGCTGTGGAAAAAAAAAAAAAGTTAGTCTGACAAGTTTGCCACTGGGTGAAAAATCACATGGCCACGTGGTTGAAACTAGACAGATCTCAGAGTGTCCATACTGTCCTAATTAAGGCTGGTAGTAGATCACATTGCCAGGTTTAGCTGAGCTGTGCTCAGGGTAGAAAGTTAGGGAGGACATGAAGGAAGCTGGTGCATTACCTCTATTTGCTCTTCATTTTCTTGCCCAGCTGCTTTGAGCAGGCTTCAAACCTGCTCTAACTTACAGTGATTTTAATGGCTCCCTTGAAACTATTTGGCAGCCATGGACTGCCAAAGGGCTCAAATTCCAGACATTTTCTCAGGCATCCAGCATGGAACTGGGAATGGTTTATCTTATTCCCTGCCAGCTTCGCTTCCTGTTCCAGGAAAATCTGCTAGCTGTTGGAGACAACTTTCTGGCCTGTTTTCACCTGGAGTAAAGGAAAGGACTGAAATCAACTGCAAGCCTGGGCCTGTGTTCAAAACACAAGATTATTTGATAGGAAGTAGAAAATTTAGGATCTCTATGTCCTTGTTCTTCAGCACCCTTTAGGTTCTTTAAACCTTCACAGAGCTCTTGGCTCCGAGTGAAAAATAAAACACTTTACATTTTCTGGTTGTATATAATTTGCAGGTGAAAATTACCAGCATCTAATCATTCACCTTCTTTGTCATTGCAGGTTTCTAGCACAAATTCTTACTTCCGGAGTGGGACATGAGGGAAATGACCTTTACAGAGGGTTGCTGGTTCTAGCTGGTCATAAAATCAAAATAGAAATCAGATTTTAAAACCCCTACCATTACCACCCTCAAATAAGGGCACTGAGTTGTTCATGAAAGAAATCCATGAAGCCATAAAGTCATACCCTGCAGGAAGCCAGTCGTTGCATACATCCAGACCATGCTGAGTCCAAGAAATCCCAGTGACATTCCTGAAAAAGCCAGGAGTCCTCCAGTGATCACAATTGCCCGATGGGTGTATCGTACACATAGTGAGCTGGCAACAGGGGCTGGATCAGCAGCAAAATAGGAGAAAGATAAATAAGTTAGGAACATTAAGCTGGCTGACTGGACCAAACAATCAAATAAAGCATTTGGAGGAGAAATACCCTTATAATGCTTGTCTCAAACAGCCTGAATTCTGCTGGACAGGGGGCATCAATGGAGATTTTAAGATTGGATCCTTGCTGATAGTGAAATGACTGGCCCTAGGGCACAGTTTTTAAATTATATTCAAAATATTTGGACTTTTTTAAAGGGAAAGAGCTTTTCAGTGCCTTTCTCATGGAACAGTTCTACTGAGTTTCATGCAAGGATACAACTAGCAACGTAACAGAAATTCATGTAGTGTTTTAGCAGAAAGTGAAACCCCAGCCATAGAACCTCTAGGTTAATCTGTAAAAATTGTATTATTGAGAGTGTATTATTGATATGGCTGGCATGAAAACTCTCTGGAGAAAACTAATCTTCACCTTCCAGAGCTTTGCAAAGTCATCTATTCCTGGTATTGCAAATATTTTATAGAGGACCAGAAATCAAGGTTTATTTTGAAGTTACATTTCTCCAGGAAATTTGCAGTTTATTTCTTAAATTTTTATTTCAGTGGTACAGTTTTTCTTAGCAGACTGCAGGAACTCTTCAACACATGAGGGCAAAGTTGCACCTGAGTTGCAAAGTTGCAAAGATCTGACTTTGTGCAGCAATTCCAAACCCCAAAGCACTGGTCTCTAGTTGCTACATGGAAGCACCTGAAATGTTAGGGATATTTTTGCTTAATGAAGGATCAATTATACTGCCTGGCTGTTTTTCCATCAGCATTACAGCGTTAAGATCAAGGCTATACCTACCACGGAAAGACACTCTGTTCTGTGGGGATAGTTCAAATCACAAACACAGGATTTTTTTTTAATTAACCGTGGCCACTAGAGGGATCCCAAGTAACACCTGACACCACCGGTTCTCGGTGAGACTTTGTAGTGCTCCCTACAATTTACTAATATTCTGGAAATTGGAGCTCGAGGATAAAATTAAATTCTGTTGATGACGACCATGTTTATAAACTGAACTAAGTGGGGAGACAGTGAAGAGAGGGCAGTCAGCAAGGGAGGGTTTATAGTAGTTTGTAGGAGCAACTTGTACGTTCACCTGTGTTAAGTGAGATAAGAATGAAGAGAATTTGGTAGCTAGGACAAGTGAAATAAACCTGGCAGAGAGATATTAATGGCTGCAAAATCTGCAGGATGTACATTGTCTGGCAGCAGGTAGCTGGCAGAAGTTATACAAACTTCTCATCAGCATTTACAGCAAAAATAAAATTATTTGATAAGCATGTAAAATTGACACTAGAATTCAGTCATGGTCTGTAACATGTAGTGGAAGGGATGAGACAGGACAACAAGAGATCCATGGAAGTGCTTAAAGACAAGAGAAAGCTCTGCAGTTGGACCAGAAATACTACCAAAAAGCAAATTTTTTTTAACAGGGAATGAGGAGAAGAAATAAGCAGAAATTGAAAATGGGGTAGCAGGAGGAAGAAAGAAGCTACTTACAGAACTGGAAATGGAGAAGTTTGCTAGGTTCCAGAGTCTGAAAGGATAAAGGGCAATACACAGAAAACTTAGAAGCAATTAAAAAGTATGATAATCACAGTGCAAAGAGAAAGGTGATAGGAGATGTACATCAGTACCAAGATAAGGTCTATGTGTGTGATGGGGAGAATCCTTGCTGTGGTAAATTGAACAGCCTGTTGCAGGTGCAAACCCCAAAAGTAGAAGCACATGTTCTCCTTCCACATGAGACACAGAGCTGCTGTTGAAAGGATCCAAACGGGAAAAATTAGTAATTCACTGATCATCCTTCATACTGAGCCAAATGACACTGAAGGTTTCCCAGAGGAACACATTAAGAAAGACTAAGCCAGGCCAGGAAAGATGCTCAAAGAACTGGAGATGATCTTCAGCAGAAAGTCTTCTGGTCCCTATAAATGAAGCAAAGGCAGGAGAAGATAAGGAAAATTACCTAGTGACCCAAGACATTATGAACTGCTGTACAGAAGAGTTTTGGAACATTTGGCCGTCAAGCTGTATTCACTAAAAGAGGATTCTTTTCATAGGATTTCCAAGGATGAAAAACAATTTCTGCTGAAAATTATAGCTGTCTTCTTTGAAGTAGGCCAGCCTCGCCCTTGGCTAGGCAAATACAGTTTTGCTGGTTTATACATGATATTATTATTTAATATGCTCTATCCTTGATACATTTCTATATAATGTAAATATATATCTTAAAAACAAACAAAAAACCTAAACCAGGACTTTGAGTTCTTTTATCCTCCTATGCTGTTTTTTTTTCTCATTAACATTCTCATTTTCTCATTACAAAATAGTATCACAATAGGTCAGTGATAAGTCTAATTTGTAAACCAAATTGATAGATTCCCATTTATTCACTTCTGTATTCTATGAAGTAGGTGGAAAAGCAGGTTTTCATTGATTTTTCATTTAATTATTTCTGTCAGAATGAAACAAGCTCTAATATTGCAAATCAAGCATCAAGGATAGCAGTTCATGGAACTGGTAAAATCTTTTCAACCCATGACTTGCTTTATCTTTTTACTTTAACTTTGAATTACTGTTTCGTTCTTCTGAATATATTTTTCAAAGAAAGATCAGTTGCTCATGATCTTTGGAAGTACTGCTCTTACAAGCAATAATACTGATAGGTGTGGGCTGAGTAGGATGCATATAATTATATAGTGTCTACACTATGAAGCATGTTCACAAACAAAATTATGATAGCATTTATTATGTAAGGATACTTACCTATTGCAACTATATATCTATACGAGAATATGTAGAGAGGACTTCACAAATTCTGTACAATTAGTGCATGCACATGTTTGGAAACCTCACCATAACGGTGAAGGATCATCCAGTTTACAAGGGCACAAAGGACTCTGTAAACAACTAAGTTAAGAGTCAAATGCAGTATGTTTGATATTTTTCCCTCTGTTTGGTGAGATGTTGCATTTGACTTGATCCCATAGCTCATTGACTTTGACTGTTTCCTTACTGTCTGCTTGCATGGTCTTCTCTTCCTTATGTTCTCTATGAGTGAATTGAATTATTGAATTTTTTTTTATTTTTAACTCAGTGAGTTTTCTGTTAGATCAATGACTTGGAACCACTCTAAGGGGTGAAAAGAGAGGCAGAACTGGCAATACATGGAAGGAAGGGGGAATCTTGGTGAAGACAAAAAGAAGAAGTGGGGGGGAAAGCAGGACCAAGAGTCACCATTTTGGTAGCAGATGGCTTATCTTCTAGGCAGGGTCACAGTCCTTATATCTTAAAGTAGTTTGAAAAAGTGACAGTCACTGTGAGATCAGTGAACTTGCACAAACTGGTTTAAGAGCTTGATGCAACAAGCTCCGTAGTTCTTAGGATTATCTGCACTGAGTTTGATCCAAATCCTGTAGGAAAATTGAATCATGAGTCTAGGTACATGATGTTCTTTAAGGCAATCAGATTCCTGTGTATATACAGAGTTCTCATTAACCCATTCCATGTCTGAGGCATGGATACATCTTTATGAGGGAAAGCAAGTGCCAATTTTCTGTAGAGACAGAAGGAAGTATTGTCCTTACATGTTTTCTTTCCCTTTTTTTTTTTTTTTTTTTTAAGGAAGCTCTTCAAAATTTCTTGAGTAGTTAAGACATTAAAATAAAATGCTAGAGGAACACTTCTACCTACCTCCTAAATGAAAGATGACAATAGTTACTGATGTGATCCAGGAAGTGGTGCTTGCAAGTTCATCAAAGTGCTGCTGGATTTCAACAAAGAACAGACCAAAAGTCTTGAGGACGGCAGCAGTGAGGCCCATCACCATGAAGGCTGACACTACCACAACCCATCCATAGCCACCATCCGGTGGACTGCTGTCTTTGGCCTGCATCTTTTCTAATTCTCAGACCTTCTCTCAGGGTTTTTTTGCTGGGGTGGTAGTGATGGTGGTGAGGATTTTTAACAGATCTGCAAATTAGTGGAAGGCCCAGTGTTAAAGAAATTAATTAAAAGATTTTAGGAATGGCTTACACAAGTAATTAGCAAGTGAAAATACAATATGCATTTCAGTGATTTGATTGAAAATATTACCTGAGAAACAGATGCCCCAGGAAACAGAAGGTGGAGCAGAAAGTAAAACAAAGAAAGTAAAAAAATGGAGAAAGGAAAAATATTCAGGTAAGAAGGGCAGAAAAAAGAAGCCTTCAGATGTGAAGACAGGAGAGAAGACGATGGGAAAAGACATGACGCAGACACTAAGATTTTGAAACATAGGCCCAGAATCCTACCCATTCTAGTAACTTCAAGAACCTTATCCCACCCACTTCTCAAACCAATACATTATAGTAAACAATTAGAAAATTTAATGCCTGACAGGATACCATACTTTCTATCATTCTCTGGACATTGCAATAAACTTAATGAACTTCAAAGACATCAAGGCAGCTGTTTGTACCCATCAGCCTCTTGTCATAATTGTGTGTATGGATAAAGCATAATTATATTTGCTAAGTTGCTCCTTTGAGTAGTATCACTTGTGTGACAGAATAAGAGGTAGAAAAAAAGAAAAGATTCTAACCTTAAAAGGGCAGGAAATCTGCCAGTTTCAATCTTCTAGGTATCCACATAAATGGAAATAAATGGAAGCTACTTCACTTTTCTAGAAGTCTGAACCTAGTGGACTTTCCATTCCTGAAATGGCAGCCTCTCAAAGAAAGATTCCACCTTCCATTTGGCAAATACCAAAATGACATTTAAAAACAAAAGAAATCAAGTTGAAGGTATTGACTATGGGATCCTTTCAACCTTGATACTATTTAATCATTGCCTAAGTTCCAGGAATACTGCAAATCTGTTTTTTCTCTTTGTGCTTTGTCTCTAAAAACCCATGTGCAGTGGCAACTTTGACTAAAGAGTGGGAATGTATAAACTTAATACTAACTCTTGATGTTGTTGTAAGCAATACTCTAATTCAGAACCATGAAAATAATTTCTTAATAATTCCAGTGGCAATAGGTCTTCTGCCTGTGTAAACAGGATGTATGTAATCTCGAAAATGGTATTCAGCATGAAACTGGGTGTTACTCTGGTCTCTGAGGTGTGTATTAGGGAACCAGTATTAGATATGGTACTGGACATCTGAACACTACCTGTACACTGTGAAAATTTGGAGCTCCCTGCCACGTCAGTACTATGGATACTAAAACTTTACATGGAAATATTAGATAAATCTGTGCTGTACAAAACTACTGAGGATTACCAAATGCTTAAAAATGGTCCCTGGCTCAGGAAGTCTCCAAGCTACAAGTAGTCAGAAACTGGGAGGTATCACTTTATGCTTAGTCTATTCTTAAACATCCCCTTTCGGCCTGAACCAATATAGCCGGTTTTACAGTGCGAGTAGCTTTTAAGGAACACTGCGTAAGAATTTTAGGGTACTCAACATCTTAGCATTTATAAACATTCATGGCTCCAGCACTGCAAAGCATTTTTGCCAAAACGGGGCACACGCTTCTTTGTGAAGACATCTTAATAGGCAAGCATATCTTATTAAAAGCATAACTGAAAAAGCGTATTTCCCCTCGGAAGTTTTGTGACAAACTTGGAGTAATCATGCAGTGCACAGAGGACATGGGATCTGGCTGAGGGAGGGTAACATTCCCACTTTTTTCTTGTTTCTTCGTGGACACTAAATTCTGAGCGGGCATGTTGTACAAAATGCAGGAGAGCAAAAGAGACAGGGCACAGGAAGCAGTTTTGTCTAAAAGGGAGAATGTAGCTAAAGATAACTAAAGATGTACTATACTTACATTTATCTTCCCTGTGTGCAGCTGGGAAAGATGAGGGTTAAGGGAATCCATACCACTAGAAGCCATCCAGTACAAAGCAGCAGTCACTAGTCCTGTGATTTGCTACACTGAGGTACATGATCTCGGGAGGACCTAGAACACTGCAGCAGGGTGGGTGAAAGAAGCCATCAGAGCCTTGTAGGGATCAGAAGCAAAATCTTTCTGCTGCCATGTGACTGGCTCAAACTTCAGACTAACATGTGGCACTGGACATATTTGCACGACAGACATAGTCAGACAGATTAATCAGTTGCACAAGGTCTCAGACAACATCCTGAAAATCTTAAAACTCAGCCACAAAAGATGAAGGAAAGCCTTGTGGTTGAGGTCTAGATGAAGGAATCTGGTTTTCATTCCCACAGTTTCTGCGTAACCTTGAACAAGTTGTTTGATCTTGCTGTGCCTCTGTTTTCTCAGTTGTCAAATGCAGCTAATAACTTTCAAAGCTCATGAATTTTGTGAGGTTGAAAATGTTAATACTTGTGTTAGTGCTGATCTACTATATGAAAATACAGATCTAGATCAAGTTGTAGCCATGTCTTAATATTGCTGGGCTCAAGTGGCATGGTCATAACTGGGTTTGAGGCACTGAAGAACATAAAAAAGGGTGCAACACTCAGGCTAAATGAGCCTGCCTAGGCAGAGTGATACTGAAATTACTGCACTCTGCATGGACATGCCTGAGCAAGGGGTTATGATTTCTGCCACAAGACAGAAGAAATCCTGCTACTTACCAGGCAGTATCCAGACTAAAACAGGCATGATAAAATCTACTACTTCCTGACACCGCCCAGTATCTTTCGCCTTCATTAGGCAAACTCTGCCCTGGGAGGAGTATAAATCAGGCCCTACTGCTCACAAGACTTAAACGAACAGTCTTTTTCCTGACCACAAATACATTTTTTATGTCACAGCTCAGAATTCAATCTCCAGTCTCTTTTAATGATCATAGTGTTACATGCAACTCCAAAATGAAATTACTATTTCAGTTGTGTGATTAATTAATGAGGTAGTTATCTCCCAGGATCCCTACAGATTTGAAAGCAGTGCAGCTACATACTGTAGAGAATTGCTGGAATGCCTCAACAAAGTAGAAGAAAGCATAGATGTTGCAATGGGTGGACTTGTTGTTTCTGACACCATGCTCTACTTTCTTCTCTCCTTCACTTGCAAGTGAAAGTTTACTACAAGCATGTAATTGAGAAAAACTAAGCTGAAAAAAAACCACCCAGGATCTCTTTTCGCTCTTAGCTATTGAGTAATGGTAAATGGTAAGGGTTTTATGTCTTCACTTTCTCCTCTTGCCCCTGAAACTAAACTTTTAAAAGAAAAGGAGGAAAAACCTGTAGGGAAACTGCCCTTTCTATTGTGCTTGGCCACACACAAGACCCCTCAAAGAATGTAAAGCCATGCCTGGAAGCATTAGCATTCTGCCTAGCGTCCCCTGCCTCCTACCTCCAAGCTTTCCGATGGCAGCTGGAATGGGTGCCCTGTGAGACAGAGGCTTCAGTCAGGAAAGCCACAACACTGTCGTCTGTGCTTGGTGGGTGCATCACCAAGAGCAGACAGCTCTGCCAGTAGCATCCTTACCCTTATGGCAAAATTTGCCAGTGAGAACATGCACGCAAAAGTGCGATCTTTATCTTTTAGCTATCTGGATAGCTACAAAGGCACTTTCTCTGGCACTGGGGGTGTTCCTCTATTCACGCTCTACAAGTTCTCCAGGCTATTTCTTCTTTTATTCATGTCAATGATTCAGAGGGTTTCTCAGACAATAATAAAAATAAATTATATAAAGCTTGTCTGATTGCTTGCATTTTAGTGTGCCACATAAACTTGTGAAGACCAATACTTGCATTACTTGGGTACCTTGTGTTCCATATTCTAATTTGCTTTTTACAGAAGAGCAAATGAGTTTAATGCATTTGCTACACATTGCAGAACTTGGTGGTGGAATCAAGAAAAGACTGTTGTTTCCATGAATCCTAGTCTTGTTTTCATGCAACTTGTACATAAAGCTCCCCAAATAACTGTATTCACTCTCTCTTAGAGGCTGGGTGGACTCCCTGTGAGCTGCCAATACTTAGCACTTTGCAGAAACAGGTTCCCCAAGAAGACAGAAAAGGCAAGCATTAAGTTTTTCCATGCTTAGATGAAGAAACATGACTTGTTAGTGGGGGTTTGGCTTGGGTTTCCAGTAAAAGCATGGTACTTTACCTTGGATTTGGACTTACCAAAAAAAAAAGAAAAAGAAAAAGAAAAAGAAAAAGAAAAAGAAAAAGAAAAAGAAAAAGAAAAAGAAAAAGAAAAAGAAAAAGAAAAAGAAAAAGAGAAGAAAAGCACACTTGATATACACCAAGGCAAAACTACTTTTACCAAAAGCTGATATTGGGACAGGACCATCAACTAGACTACCTTGATGTAGGAACTATTCAGCAATATCAACTACATAAAACTAAATACAAAGCAGATCTTTAATAAATTTACAACAGATTAACTAATATAATCTTGTTTTAATTGTTGTATTAGAAGAAAGATGGAAAGAAACATGGAAATAAATTGTAATTGATACTGAAACTTCCTTCACACATATACCTTCTTACACAGCCAGGGAACAGGTACTTACTATGATTGTCACACTCAGATACCTTCTGGTCTTCATCTAACACTCAGACTCGCTCTGCTGATGCTCTCATGCCACCACAGCTTCAAATACAACACAGCCATGCTAGTTATTGCTTTTCAGACACAAATTCAAGAGGACCTCTTAATAAAATTCTCCTTTCTAACTTTATTAACATCATTTTAGTAAGAGCCAGTCTAATGAATATGATCTATAATACAATTTACTGACAAAGCATATCAGGATGGAAAAGACAGGCTGAATGCCCTGAGCAGTCAGTTTGAAGTAACAAAAATAAAGTATAGCATAAAGAAATTACCTTTTTCAGGTAACCCAGGCTTGTATGGGATATGAAGCTCTTCCTTCACCTTCCAGTTGTATGTAAGTTCTTGAGTCGTGCTGCAACCCACCAGGTCATCT